TGCGCCCGCCGGAGGAGCGCTGAGCTGGAGGGCGTCGGTGCCCCCCGAGAACCACAGCAGCCCGTCTCTCCGTCGCTGCCGCCCCGAAACCTCCCCCCCACAGCTCCCCTGCGGTACCCTGCGGCTTGTGTTCTCCCCTAAGCAAAGGCCCGGCCTGTACGGCCCAAGGTGGCCATGTATACATTGTAACCTCCCTCAGGGTTCGTCTTCCTCTCGGTGCTGCTTTCAGCAGGCCGGCAAGAAAAGAAACTAGAAATAATCGTAGAATCGCCTAGGTTGGAAAAGACCTTTGAGATCATCAAGTCCAAAAACAGGGTGATGGGCTGGGACCTCGGTTACCTAGGGTTGGATTTTTCTTTCCAACGTTTGATTTAAAATTCTCTAAGTCTCAGGCAGGATGCAAATAGTGGAAATAATCAAAATCAGTTTGCATTTTCCTTGCCCGGGTACTTTATGCCGACTGATGCTTGGAAGGGACCAGGGTTCTGTCGGGAATACTGCAATTTCCCACACAATGTTATTAGATGCTCCCTTGGGCTATTACAGTTTTGATGCCAGTTCTGCATCTCTGATTTACACGAGACCGTGATAGAGCCAGGAGGCCTGTGCTTAGCCAGCTTTGTAGGAAGACCAGTTAATTTGAGATTATTTAAAATTGCTGAAGTTACTTTTCTGTAAAAGCTGTTCAGGAGGTGGATGGCTCTAAACAGAAAGACAACTGTGCAACTTGAACATACACTAGTCTGGTGCTAATGGGAAGAAAAGTTTAAATCCTCCTTTCTTCCAGCCTCTGAGGCTGACAGCAAAGCTGGAAAGTGGCAGGGAAGCCATGGGGAAGAACAGTGTATTACCAGAAGGTTTTTGAAGGGAAAACGCATAGGGGATGCCTAGAAAACAGAATTCTGAGAGGATGACTGCTCCCTGGGATAACATGGACCGAGTACTCAATTTCTTTTGATTCAAAACTTACATATTTTTTTATAGTGGGGGTGGTGGGAAAAACCTGCAAACTTGCTGCTAAAACAGGGTGGACTGAGAGAAGCCAATTGACGGAAGAGTGTAAGAAAATTAAGGAAGCGTTCCTGAAATTGTTCAGAGCTCACTGCTGCTTAGGCTAAGAAAACAGACTCCAAAAATGTATTGATGCAATGTCAATTACAGAAAGTGTTACTTAAGCTCCCTTTTTTTAAAGAAAAGGGCAACAGTGCTGGACGCTTGCAGAGCAAAGCTGCTTCCAAGGGACTACCATGCTTTAAAAAAAAAAATGGGGGAAAAAAAAAAAGCAGGGGAAGAACAACAAACTTGTGCTTGTGTCCCTGCCTCCAACCTGGTGTTAAAAGTACTCACAGAAGAGGAGCCTCCCACCATTTCTGCACAAACAGCTTTATGTAATTCCACGCTGTCTCTTAGATTCCCCCTTTCCTCTCCTCCCTGCCAGTCTCCACTTGCAGACTCCGCTTCTCATCCTCGTCTCAGCCTCTCCTAGTTCACCCCAACCCACTTTCATGGCTCCCACCCAAGCTACTCCTCAAGCCTTTTGGCTCAAATTTCTTCTCACTTAGGTTTCCTTACACATACACACAGCTCTCTGCCGTAGCATTTGAGATCCCATTCTTGCCCTGTCTCCCCTCTCCCTGCTTCTACACTCGGATACGTGCACGTCTGCATCTGCCCTTATCTCCTGGAGCCACCTTGCTGTAGATGATCCTTGCCAGCAGATCCCTGGCCTTGCCAGATCTCCCACGAGGCTCCTGCTCTAGCAGGATTTTTAAAAACTCAGACGTGGGCTGTGCTTAACAAAGACCCACCCAGAGGGAGCCCTGAGAGCAGAAAGGCAGGCATGTGTGTGAGAAACTGGCCCTGTGGTAGTGCTACCCAGGCAATGCCTAGGTCTACCAGGAGGTTAAATGCAGGACATGGGTTTTTCAAAGGTACCGAGTTCTCCACAGTGAAGTCTGCCAAATGGCTGTGCAAACACCCCCCCCCCCCCCAAAAAAAAAGCAATGGCCACTTGGAAAATGGTGGTTGTGTGCGTGCATGTACATACTGCCCGTCATGAGTTGTACCTGCCACGTACAGCACATAAGCAGGTATGTCAGATTTAGCAAAGCGTGACATATAAATCCTCACTTGTGTCCAGTGTGTTACAAAAAGAAATCAACGGCAGCAGGGCTCTTGTCAGGCGCAGCGTCTTTGGGTTCAACATCCCAAGTGCCGAGGAACGGGGAGAGGGGTGAGGGCTGGGAGCGTCCGGTGGAGCGGGGCTTGTTCAGTGTCGCTGAGCCAGGGGATGAGCTGACCCGCTGCATATTTTGAAGAGATTCCCAGGACACTGCATCGCTTCCAGGAAAGAAAAGTGGGTTTATAGCTCCTCTGGGAGATGGAGCAGCCCTGGAAGGGAGACCCTCGGGGAGACAGAGCGGCCTGGGAGAGGAGACCCCGGCCTGCTGTCAAGACCCCCCCTGCCAAAGCTTGCCCCACCAGATCATGAGGGGTAAGGGTTTCCCGAGGAAGCATTTCAACTGCCGGCCTTACTGCAGGCTCAAAAAACACACCGCAGAGAGGCACGCCGTTTTTATTGAAAGAACGCAACAACCGGCCTTTGTCGAGGGATAAAGGCGCCTCCACCGCACAAGATGGAGGCGGCGTGGGGCTGCAGCGCTCTCACAGTGGGATGGGGGAGAGAATCGGAAGGGTGAAAGTGGGAAAACTGGTGCATTGAGATAAAGACAGTTTACTAGGTAAATCAAAAGCCACGCATGCAAGCAAAGCAGGGAATTAATTCCCTGCTTCCCAGGCAGGTGGTCAGCCATCTCCAGGAAAGCAGGGCTCCATCACGCCTAACAGTGACTTGGGAAGGCAAACGCCATCACTCCGAACACCTCACCCTTCCTTCTTCTTTCCCCAGCTTTATGTGCTGAGCATGATGTCATATAGTATGGAATACCCCTTTGGCCACTTGGGGTCAGCTGTCCCAGCTGTGCCCCCTCCCAGTTTCTCATGCACCTCCAGCCCCCTCGCTGGTGGGGTGGGGTGAGGAGCAGAAAAGGCCTTGACGCTGTGTGAGCCCTGCTCAGCAGTAACTAACACATCCCTGTGTTATCAACGCTGTTTTCATCACAAATCCAAAACACAGCCCCATACTAGCTACTATTAAGAAAATTAACTCTATCTCAGCCAAAACCAGCACATTTTCCACACCTTATCCCATACCATTTACATAATGGTCAGGTCTCACACTATCCAGTGTACTCTAATTACCCACCACCCCCCTTCCCATAATTTTATATAATACACAGATATCATTCCCCTAGTCTGTGGACCACCCCTGTAAAATGTCTGTAAAATGTCCACTGAGTTCATCTAGTCCATGACTTAGGGCTCCATCTCCTATGGTGGTCACTCAGGACAGGAGAGGCAGTGTTGCTGCATAGAGTTACCGGGCACCAAAGCCAGCTCAGGTCGGGTCACTGCTGCACTTGCACAGCTTCTCGTAAGGCTCCTCCTCCATTGGTTCAGGTGGTTCCTGCTATAGTCATTCCCACAACATGCAACTCAAGTCATGGGTTACAACAATTTAAAGGTATTTCTATTACAGTCTCCACTGCTGGCCCCTTTGGGCCAGGTTATAGGGTTTAACATTGCAATGAACTCCTCCCCTTGCCCCTGCTCTGTCTTGGACTTAGCCGAAGACTGCAGTCCCTTAACCCCTAAGGTATCTGCTCCAAGTGGAGTCTTATCTGTGACCCACAGTCTCTCCAGGGATATACCTCCTGCGGCATAGACTTAGCCACAGTCGCTTTGAGGAGCATCTGTTCCAGCATGGCCTTCTCCATGAGCCACAATCTCTTCAGAGATAGACCTGCTCCAGCGTGGCCTTACCCACAGCCACAATCCCTTTAGAAGTAAACCTGCTCCAGCATGGCCTTACCCATGGCTGCAGTCCCTCCAGGGGCGTACCTGCTCTGTCGTGGACTTATCCATGGCCACATGCTTTGAGGTGGTCCATCATGACCTCATGCACAGCCACTGGTGCTTCAAGGTGCACCTGCTGCAGCGTGGACTTATCCACAGTCACAGACGCTTTGAGGTGTACCTTCTCCAGTGTGGGCTTATCCTTGGGCCACAGTCCCTTCAGAGGTACACCTGCTGCAGCACAGACAGAACCACAGCCACAGGCACTTCAGGATGTACCTGTTCTGGCATGGGCTTACCCATGGACACAGATGGGCATCCTGGTCCCGTGTGGACTCATCCCCAGGTCACAGTCCCTTCGACTTGAGTTCACACTGGAGTTCCAGCCTGTCCAGTACAGCAGCACAGAAACAGCAGCGATGCCCTGGCCATTGGCCAGCCCAGGCACATCGCCATGGCAGCTATCAAAATGTTCCCAGGCACAGCAGAGTCAGATGATCAGCGCTGCAGCAGCACAGCAAGCAGCAAAAGCAAAAAGCAGCCACTAACGAGCACTAGACTCGAGACGAGACTAGAATATACAGTAAGGCAAGCATGCCCCATGGCAAGCACAGGAGCCTGCCAATTAATAGCTAAACAGCAATGACAGCTATAAATTCAGTCTAGCACATTCCAATCAAACTTGTCGTTATCTCAAACCCTTTGAGCCCCACGTTGGTTGCCAAAAAGGACTGTCGTGGTTTAACCCCAGTTGGCAACAAAGCACCACCCAGCTGCTCGTTCACTCCCCTCACAGCAGGATGGGGGAGAGCATCAGAAGTGAGAAAACTAAAGACAGTTTAATAGGTAAAGCCAAGGCTGCGCACACAAGCAAAGCAAACCAAGGAATTTGCTGCTTCCCGTCGGCCAGCAGGTGCTCAGCCATCTCCAGGACAGCAGGGCTCCATCACATGTAACGGTGACTTGGGAAGACAAACGCCATCACTCCTTGGCCTCGTGAGGCTCTCATCACATAGCCCAGACTGGAATCCCTTAAGATTTTGTAACTTTCTTCCTAAACCTTTATTTAACAGCCATCATCTGCACAGGTTCTGTTGTTTGTTAGAAAACAAAATTATTTGTGTTGGAGTTGATTGGGGGAAGAGAATACATTATTTTTGGCAGAGGGACATTCTTCCTTTTGGCCCACTCATTTTTCACAAGTAATTATAACCAGCAGTTCTAGTATTAGCATCACAGACATTTTCCCATTAATTTTATAGGACTCTCAGAGGAAGCACAGGACATCTACAGTGAGCGGAGGAGGCCGTTGGAATCAAAGCACAGCTCACAAGAAACAGACAATAACCCTTCGAGAATATTTTACTGCATAACAATCTTGCTGGATTGCAATGCAGAGAATACAATTTCAGTGTGTGTCTGCACATTTAATGAAGTAATAGCCCAGTTGTCCCCTCCCTGAAGTTAATAAAAATTAGCTTGAACACCAACATAATGCTATCCTTGATTCTTTGTTGTAATCCTCAAAAAGCTGAAATGGTAAATGTTTAATAAGGGGAGCACACTTCTCTAGTATCTTTAAACTATACGTAGAGATATATAGAAATACTAAACTATTTGCTAATTTTATTAAGGCAAATCCTGTTCCTTTCAAATGTCCTAAAGTTAATCCCCAGTGTTTATACTCATTTCTGCTGTTTTCATTGGCTTCATAAACCTTCAGCCTAAACAGAGAAAAAGAAGTAAGGATTCTTCCCATGAAATAGCTCGAGAGAGAAATCTTGACATCACTTAAATGAAGCATACTTCCTGCTTCAACATAATTTAATTATGAGATCTTAAAAATAAAAACAAAGGAAAAAAACCCAACCTAATTTACTGCAAAGCTACAGACATCTCTGGGATAAAAAAGGGCTTTGCTTCCATATGCTACAGATGGGGAGATTATTGTTACTTATGAAGGACATTCCTCCTGATGTTCTTGATTGTGTATCTCTTTCAAAGGGAGAAGTTTCAGTCAAAGCGATTGTGGTTTCTAGGGACAAAGCTAACATTTGTTTTGCACAAGTGGAAAAAAAAAACACCCAACATTTGC